TTCGATGTCGAAATGGACGAATCTGTGGTGAAAATTAGGAAATTTTGGATAATTGAGACGTAGTAGCCTACCGGAGTGCACCTATAGGCAATGAAAGCGGAAAGCTGACTTTGAGCGCCGATATCTCGAAAACTATCTGTTCTATCGGGCTGATCATGGTCTCATTCGATTCAGCGTGTCATCTTCTACTGGGAAAGCAATAATTCGTTTGAATTTTTGCCGTTTTCTGTTACTTTCTGCCGTCCGAAGATAGCTTGGTGACTATATCGTACTGAAGTCCCAGGTGGGAAAATGAAAATTTTTATTTGGCCTATTAAAAATCTGAAAAAATTCACATAGACTAATTCGATGTCGAAATGAACGAATCTGTGGTGGAAATTCGTGAATTTTGGAAAATCGAGACGTAGTAGCCTATCGGAGTTCATCTATTGGCAATGAAATCGAAAAGCTGCCTTTGAGCGCCAATATCTCGAAAACTATCTGTCCTATCCGGCTGATCATAGTCTCATTCGATTTAGCGTGTCATTTTCAACTGGGAAAGCAATAGTTCGCGTGAATTTCTGTCGTTTTCTGGCACTTTTGGCCGTCCATAGATAGCTCGGTGACTATATCGTACTGAAGTCCCAGGTGAGAAAATGAAAATTTGTATTTGGCCTATTAAATTTCTGAAAAAATTCACATAGACTAATTCGATGTCGAAATAAACGAATCTGTGGTGGAAATTCGTAAATTTCGGAAAATTGAGACGTAGTAGCCTACCGGAGTGCACCTATTGGCAATGAAATCGGAAAGCTGCCTTTGAGCGCCGATATCTCGAAAACTATCCGGCTGATCATGGTCTCATTCGATTCAGCGTGTCATTTTCAACTGGGAAAGCAATAGTTCGCGAAAATTTCTGCCGTTTTCTGGCACTTTCGCCGTCCGAAGATAACTCGGTGACTATATCGTACTGAAGTAGAGGCTCATTCGCCTTAGTTCGGCCATGTCAGAGACTCTTCAAGAGCTTCGATTCGCCCTTCAAGGAGATTTTCAGGCAATTCTTCAAGGCTACTTTAGATATTTGATCAACTCGATGCCACGGCGGTTGAATGACTCGTTATTGACTATATACAGTTCTGCTTTTTGTTTGTTTTTTGTAATTGAGATTTTTTCTGTAAGTGCTAAGAAAATTAGGTAGAAATATGTGATATTAATTCTTCAAGTCGTTAATCAATAAGTTTATGTAGGTTCTGATTATTGTTATGAAATGAGTGTTAATGAAATTTGAAAAATGCCATACTTTCCTAAAACACTTGTATCTTCTCTTAAAAATAAGATATTGACGTGATTCAAAAACTATTGTGTCAAGAAATGATCACACTTCAATCCGAAGCATAATGAAACCAAGTTCAACCCCTCAATTTTGCCACAGGGCGCTAAGGAATAAAGGGTGAAATAGTGACTTTGATTTTTCCCTGTATAAAGATCAAGTCATTAGCTTTTCACTCAAACTAATATTCAGGCCTACATTCCGGAACATAAATCTACGATGTGATCGAAATTTCACAAGAATCGGGCAAGGATTAAAAAAGTTACAGGGTGAACAATTCTGGCAATTTTTTTGGTGGCCGGTTTTTTTGCCGGTGAGTGTAGATAATGATATGTAGCAATTTTCTACTTGAATAATAATCAGTGACAATTGTCGCTTCATAGTGGCAAATCCAAATGTTTTAGAAAAAATATAAAGCTGCTGGCCTCTCAACGCCTTCAAAGTATCTATAGGAGCCTGCTTCAAAAATAAATCAAGCAATTTAAATTTCTGGAATAAGTGTGTTCTTCGGCACGATCTAAAGTGACCTACGGTTTATTTTTATTATTCTATGGTAGCATTAACAATGTGAATAAATATATCTCCGAATATATCATGTTGGTGTTAGCCTAGCTATTTTTGATTTATTTTTTCAGTTGGTTGAAAGTACTAAAGGTATATATTTTCGTGAATGATATCAGATTATAAGTGCTCAGAAATCGACGGATGATGAATGGTTTCGTCTGTACTTGATTTCCAGAAATAAAGAATGATCGTGATGTTAGAAAAATACTTCGATATGTTATAATATCGATATGTAAACGAGGTGCGATATCATATCGGTTGATTAACGATCTACATTAGACATATGGGTTTCATCTGCTCTGATAATCATTTTTTTAGTAGCGCTTACCTCGGTTTATTCATGATTAGTATCTCTAATGAGTAGCTTTTACATGCTGAAATCACCTAATCTATTTTGATTTTATAATGACAATCATCATGTTCCTCCGTTTTGGATTTAATCAGGAACTCAGAAAACTGAATTGCGCGTTTCGAAAGGTTCGAACCATTATTTTCTCATTAAAATGAAGCTAGACACTGAAAAGTCAAAGGACAGTAATGTTTTTTTTTCTGTGACGGGAAAAAAGTTTGGCATTTCATCTCTGTTGGCAGGTTATAAAATGTCACTTTTCATAAATTACTTTTTTCCCGTGGGAAAAAAGTGAGTACTTTTTTCCCGGATATATATCACATATATATACACTGTTGGTGGCTTTTGTTGTGCTATAGTTCCGAAAAATGAGTCATTAATACCGTCTCCGAGAAAGAACTGCAAGTCCTTTTATCTTCCATTCGACTTCGCGGTTACGTACAGTGTGTCCCACTTACCATGCTCACCATGGGTATCTTTTTAACGGTGAGAGATACGAGGTCGGTTAAATGACACCAAATGTGGAGTTTGTCAAGGCCAACTATAATGTGAAAAAATATTTTGATAAAATCTATTCGTTTTTGTTTTATACGGAAAAAACAGATTTTGATCATTTTCATGTCTCCTCCGTAACTTCTTTATTTATGAAAATATTCAAATAGGAATTCCACATTCTCATGGCAGTTATTCAAAGTGATTTCGAAAAAAATATGAAATTTATACCAACTCTTCTAGAATTTGAGATATCAACACCAACTTTGGTTTTTCAAATGTAGGTCATAGCTCACTATCACTTAGTTACAAATAGCTTTTTTTTCTCTTACAGATGATGTGTCGCAGTAATAGTTTTGTGTTGATAACAACGGAGTTATCGTCATTTATACAAAAACAAAAAATTATTTGGAAGCCGCCATCTTGAATTCATGAATTTTAACAAAAAAATCATGATCTCCGACCTCAAAAACCCCCACTTACCAATTTTGAATGGAATCGGACCAAATCTTGTCCGCCATCTTGGAGCAGTCATTTTTTTTTTAATTTCAACAAGAATTCCATAATGTATTGTCACCGAAATTATGAACACCTGCCAAATTTCAAGTTAATCGGAGTTATGGAATTTTTGTTGAAATTAAAAAAAATGGCTGCTCCAAGATGGCGGACAAGATTTGGTCCGATTCCATTCAAAATTGGTAAGTGGGGGTTTTTGAGGTCAGAGATCATGATTTTTTGTTAAAATTTATAAATTCAAGATGGCGGCTTCCAAATAATTTTTTGTTTTTGTATAAATGACGATAACTCCGTTGTCATCAACACAAAACTATTACTGCGACATATCATCTGTAAGAGAAAAAAAAGTTATTTGTAACTAAGTCATAGTGAGCTATGACCTACATTTGAAAAACTAAAGTTGGTGCTGATATCTCAAATTCTAGAAGAGTTGGTATAAATTTCATATTTTTTTCGAAATCACTTCGAAAAACTGCTATGAGAATGTGAAATTCCTATTTGAATATTTTCATGAATAAAGAAGTTACGGAGGAGAAATGAAAATGATCAAAATCTGTTTTTTGCGTATAAAACAAAAACGAATAGATTTTATCAAAATATTTTTTCACATTATAGTTGGCCTTGACAAACTCCACATTTGGTGTCATTTAACCGACCTCGTATCTCTCACCGTTAAAAAGATACCCATGGTGAGCATGATAAGTGGGACACACTGTATATTACTAAACGATGACCACTAAATTCGCAATTTTTTGAATTCAAATCACAGAATTAGACTGACAGAAGTGACATCAGATATTTGATTACTTCAAAAGAATGATAAACATGCCTACAACGCAGGTGTCCCTACTGTTAAAAACTTGAAATTTCACGTCAATAATTTTCAGATTTCAAAATAATGTAATATCTTCTCAATATTGATTTGTCCTTTCTTCTGTCACAGAAAAAAATAGTGTATTATACACGGGAAAAATATTAGATTTTAGCTCACGGTTTGATGTCTCCCTCATCCGCTTCGAAATTTTTGATGCTTATAGTTTGAGAACGGGAGCAGATTCGGTCCCGAAACGTCCAAAGATAAGTAAAAATTCGATATTTTTTCAATATATCTATATTTATTTCCTTCAAAAATTTTTTCAAACAAATCGTCACTGACAAGCTACTGGATTTTTCTTTTAGACTCCCTGATAGAAAAGTTTGTTAAACGCAGTGACATTTTGGGACAAATCATCTGATTTGTCCCACTACAAATATATTGAAATAATACGAATATTTTTATTTTCTAGAAACGAGGAGAGAAAATCCCAGAGAATTTAGTAAAATGAATATACCACCTCCTCGATTAACCTACAGACAGTATTTAATAATCTATCATTCTGGTTTTCAACACTATTTCAAAAATGTTAGCAAGTATCGGTATTATTGAGATTGGTCTGGGATAATTTGAATAATATTATGGAAGCGAGTAAAATCCCCACTTGATCAATACAACTCCACGTTTATGGGTCCGCTGTAGCGCGTTGGGGCCAAACACCCTGTATATACCTTCACGCACCCCGCATCCTGTTCGAACCGGTTCAATCCCATATCGGTCGACGGCTGTGGCATTTTTCCTCCAGGCTGGGTGTTTCGCGAAAAAATCGAAGTTCTCTGGAACACGCCACGTGACCGCCGATATCCCGAAAAGTCCAAAGCGCTCCGCTCGGCTCCAATCGCCAGCTCTCTCCAGTTATTCCAGATATATTTTTGGATTTCCGAATGGGTATTTTTAGTCGAATTTTGTAAGTGCTCGCGTTCCTTATTAACACATTTTTTTTAGCACGTCCGTGATAATTCGGTAAAATGTTGGTTTTCGATTGTTTGTGACAACAGTGGAAATAGTTAGGTATCTTTGGATTTAGTTCTTTCGGTGGTGGAAAGTTTGCGATAGGATGCCGCTTTTCAAGAAGAAAGCGGAAAGGAGGAAGTCCCTTTCTAGGAAGGACATATCCTTGGCTAGATTGGAAAATTTCAGAAAAGAAGTTATCACCGATCACCATACCATCCAACTCAGTAAGTTAAGCATTTAAAGGGTGCTTCAAAATTCAGAATCAAGATTATAGGTCCTTGAATGCGGTTTTCTCCAAATATTAATATTATTATCCTTTTTTTATCGATGTATGATAAATTGGTATTCATCATACAGGACGTGGAAAGAAATTATGAATTGAGAAAACCTAATCACGAATCTGCGATTGAGGTCTATAAAAAGAAAAGGAATATTCTCAGATATATTTATGAGCACAAAAAAATTAATATGTATATAAAGAAATACATTGAGAATTCGCATTCTCCATGTGATGAAAATATTAATTCTTTCTCGGTTTATTCAACAGAAAACAACTACTTTCCTGGCTATATGCCACGATGAACATTGAATTATATCTATTGAACACACACGATAAGAATTATAAAACAAAATCTTCTGAAGTAGAAAATTTGCATTCTCCTTAATTCTTTGTCGGTTTATTCAACAGAAAACAACTACATTCCTGGCTATATGCCACGACGAACATTGAATTATATCTATTGAACACACACGATAAGAATTTAAAAACAAAATCTTTTGAAGTAGAAAATTTGCATTCTCCTTAATTCTTTGTCGGTTTATTCAACAGAAAACAACGACTTTCCTGGCTATATGCCACGACGAACATTGAATTATATCTATTGAACACACACGATAAGAATTTGAAAACAATATCTTCTGAAGTAGAGAATTTGCATTTTCCTTCATATAAAGATATGCACATATTATCATTCTGTTGGTCATCATCGGTTCGACAGGAGGTATTATATTGGGTGTTGCAGTGGTATTGATTGGTATTGATTGCGTAAATGGACTTTTTTATTGATTTTCAATTACACGAGGAAAAACCTAGTGATAAATAGGTTTCTTGACTTCATGTCAGCTCAGGAATATCTTAAAACCATTGTAGCATCGTTATTGTATAAATTGGTCACAAAACTCCAGAAGGGCTTTCTTGCGCCCCCTTGGATTGCCTTATCTGAAAAATCACGAAATCAATTCGAGATATTTAGCTGAGCAATCGATCCAAATGAAGGATTTGTGTTTAGCATAGCATATGGTTATGGCAGTACCAAACTGAACAGACGATTTCACCAAATTCTGAACATTTCTATAAAATATTATTTTTTCTTCTGTAGAAGTTGTCAATGATTTCAAGACAATATGAATCCATTTTTTAGGATGTGTCTCGTCGTATAGAGTGGCAGAATGCTTTGAATGTGGCTTGCATAATCTTAAGATCGGAAATATTGCGATAAAAACATGAAAATGAAAAATTATCAATTTTGAGCATCCTGTATGAGGAATATGGAAAATTACAAAACAGTTTCGAGATATTGGCTTGAACGTTCGAAAAAAATGATTGATAGAAAAATAAAAAAATGTCCCTGGAATACGGAAGCCTTTGAATTCTGTCATTTTTGTAATACTTTTTTCGAACACCTGGTGTTTAATGAAAGAAAAACTCCCGACGAGTTTTGAACGAGGAATCTTGAACAGAATGATCGCATCTTCCAAGCAAAATCCATTCATTTTCTAAAAAGATATGGCAGTTTGTAAATTGTCAAATATTTCAGTGATTCACTTGTTTCTTTGAGCACTTTATATAAAAGTCATGCATATTTGAATATTTGATTTTACAAAAACAAATCTATTGAAATATGCAATAATATACAGGGGGTCATTTAAAGAAAATATACTTTTCCACTTGCCCTGTATAATAATGATGAAGGTTCACTCGATGGTTCACTATATTAGACTTCAAGAATAGTAATGAACAGAATACCTCGCCGAAGATAGCTAAAAACAATAGAGAAATATTTACATTCCAAAATATTGCTTGAATTGCCTTGGTATTTGCTGAAAATTGTCTGTATTTCCTCCATATTGCCTCATGCCTGTATTCCCTCCATATGTATTCCCAAAATATTGCTTGTATTGCCTGAATATTCCTCGTATTTCCTGATGAATGCCTGTGTTTTCAGAAAGAAATATCCTAAAAATTCCTGTATTTGCTTCGAGATTGCCTTCATATTGCTTCTAATTCCAGAGTATTTCTTCTTTTTTCAAAATATAGCGTGTATTGCCTAAATATTTCTCGTATTTCCTGATATTTGCCAGTATTTCCAGCGAAATTTACAGGTATTTTCAAACTGGTTCGCCCCTCGGGTTATACATCTCAAACTTCCTGCACAATTACAAATCGTGTCAGTTTAAGAAAATAATATTTCAACTGTCAAACTGACACGCTTTGTAATCATGCAACAAGTTATCGATGTATTTTGAAGTACTTATAGTATTACTACTGAATATAAAAAAACAAAACACATTAGGTCAATATACGAGAAAGTTCAATTTTCCGGGAGTAAATCAAATATCTGCATAGATCTATAACTTTTCAACTTCAATTTCGGAATCGGTAAATTGTATCTCGGAGAAGGTAAACTAAATTTTAGAATTGGTTAGTTCGATTTCAGAAATAGTAAACTCAATTTCAGAATCGGCGAGTTTAATTCCATAAAAAGTCCATTCAATTTCAGAAACGATAAGTTGTATTTCAGAAAATGAATCCCTATATATGTTTGACATATTTTTATGTGCATGTGAGAAGAACAAACCATCTTCAGAATATTTAAATTTTCAAAAAATCTTCAATTAATCCATACAGACATGTCTTCCATTTTCTGAAATTCAACTCACCGATTCTGGAATTGAGTTAACCATTTCTGAACCCGAGTTTACCTTTTCCGAAATATAACTTACAGATTCTCAAATAGAAGTTGAAAAGGTATAGAAAATATTTGACCTTGAACCCAAACCATTGAAATGACACCCTCAAAATAACTAAATATACATTGATATTTTCAGACAGTTGATACACCGTATAGATACCAATTGGTCACTTCGTTCGATTATAAAGGAAAAGTGATTGCAATATGTCAAAAATGAAAGGAACAAACAAAACGTCCAGACCGTTGGCTACGGCCCAAATTCTATGACCACAGAGAATCATACATTCTCCCACACTTTTTTCGGTTCATTTGAATAACTAAACATCGTCCAGTCATGTCTAGCTGTCGCATGCGTCGGATTTTTGATGACGTTCATCTACATCCAACGTCTGAACATATCTGATAGACGTTTTAAAAATACCCAACGATGACGTTGATTTCATTGCGTACGAAAACCAAATAATGTACCTATAATATTTTTCCTTTGAGATTGCTAGATTTCTAGAAAAAAATCCTTCGAATTACCATAGTTTTCGAGAACTATTGAGGAAGTTCAGTCTGCTATATACCAGCTGAAGAGAAAAGTCTATAAAGTCGCAATGAAAAGCATTAGAACTTTGTGAAGTACCGCCTCATGAATTCTATGAACCACTAATGAAGCGAAATTTCGAATAAAGAAGTATTGAACGTGATATCCCAATGAATCCGGTGGAGTCCCTGTGTAATCTGGTCTATACCAGCTAAAGAGAAAAGTCTATGAAATCTCGACGAAGCTCTAGAACTTTGTGAAGTACCGCGTCATGAATTCTATGAACCACCAATGAAGCGAAATTTCGAATAAAGAAGTATTGAACGTGATATCCCAATGAATCCGGTGGAGTCCCTGTAATCTGGTCTATACCAGCTAAAGAGAAAAGTCTATGAAATCTCGACGAAGCTCTAGAACTTCGTGAAGTACCGCCTCATGAATTCTATGAACCACTAATGAAGTCCCGACGAATTACGCGAAATTTCGAATGAAGTCCCCGTAAGTCTGGTCTATACCAGCTGAAGAGAAAAGTCTATGAAGTCGCAATGAGATCTTCAAATGCCCCTTCATGAGGTAGATGAAATCTCGACGAAGCTCTAGAACTTCGTGAAGTACCGCCTCAGGAATTCTATGAACCACTAATGAAGCGAAATTTCGAATAAAGAAGTATTGAACGTGAAATCCCAATGAATCCGGTGGAGTCCCTATGAGTCTGGTCTATACCAGCTAAAGAGAAAAGTCTATGAAATCGCAATGAAATCTTTAAATTCCGCTTCATGAGGTAGATGAAATCTCGACGAAGCTCTAGAACTTCGTGAAGTACCGCCTCATGAATTCTATGAACCACTAATGAAGCGAAATTTCGAATAAAGAAGTATTGAACGTGGAATCCCAATGAATCCGGTGGAGTCCCTGTGAGTCTGGTCTATACCATCTAAAGAGAAAAGTCTATGAAATCGCAATGAAATCTTTAAATTCCGCTTCATGAGGTAGATGAAATCTCGACGAAGCTCTAGAACTTCGTGAAGTACCGCCTCATGAATTCTATGAACCACTAATGAAGTCCCGACGAATTACGCGAAATTTCGAATGAAGAATTATTGAACGTGGAATCCCAATGAATCCGGTGGAGTCCCTGTGAGTCTGGTCTATACCAGCTAAAGAGAAAAGTCTATGAAATCGCAATGAAATTTTTAAATTGCGCCTCATGAGGTAGATGAAATCTCGACGAAGCACTAAAACTTCGTGAAGTACCGCCTCATGAATGCTATGAACCCCTAATGAAGTCCCGACGAATACGCGAAATTTCGAATAAAGAAGTATTGAACGTGAAATCCCAATGAATCCGGTGGAGTCCCCGTGAGTCTGGTCTATACCAGCTAAAGAGAAAAGTCTATGAAATCGCAATGAAATCTGAATTCCCCTTCATGAGGTAGATGAAATCTCGACGAAGCACTAGAAATTTCGAATAAAGAAGTATTAAACGTGAAATCCCAATAAATCCGGTGGAGTTCCTGTGAAGTCTCGATGACGACGTGAAGTACAAATGATTCCATGAAATATCTATGAATTTCGAGAATTATCGATGATGAAGTCTAGTGCACAAGCTATGGGAGGACCGAAGGAAATACATGAAGTCCATGTAGTCCCGATAAATTTCATATTTACTTCTATTGAATTACATGAAGTCCTGTTGGATTCCGTGAGGTCCATAGAGTCCTAT